GGGGGGGGGAGGGCTGAAGGGTGGGGGAGACGGCCAGGCAGCGTAAATTCTACAGATCAAACACCGCTTACAGTTGTTAGCCCTTGTGACTTATCCACGTCGTAGCGTCACAAATGACAAGAAGTGCATTCGCACCATTGTGGAGAGAGAAGTGGACGGGAAGCTGCTGTCTAGCATGAACGATGAAGAGATGGCTGCAGCTCTGAACATGTCCCTGGTGCATGTCAAGAAATTCAGGATAAAACTGAAGAGAATTCAAGAAGTTTTCAGGTTTCAAAGTTTGAGCACGATGGTCTCGGCTGAAACTGCCCAGTAAGGACATGGATGAAGAGGAAACAGAGCTCAAGTCATTCTTGAAAGACAACAGCCTCGGTCGTCCAACCACCAAGTTTCGACATCTCTCCTTATCTTGTTGTTCAGGACATCTCTTTAACAAGTTGACCATCAGCATGAATATAAGTCAGCTTCCCTGCCCATTGCTGATGATGGAGGCTGAGGTTTCTGTACAGGATCAGTTGCGAAGTTGAAGGAAGTTGTAGACAACGAAACTTTGGACACCGCTTACCTGCGAATCAAGTTTGCGGAAGAAGTCAGGCAAGATGTCGCTTCCTGTGTGCCGTTCTTGACGCACGAGGCGTCAGATTGGTGAAGGCCTTGTCAAGCTTGAGCGAAGAGCATGCAGATGAAGTCTTTATCAACAAAGCCAAATACAAGGTTGCAGGTCAAAATCACTCAAGACATCAAGAGCTTCACAGTAACATCTGTTGTCGTTTAGTTTCAGGAGCACAAGCCGCTGGCTCGTTCGCCCCGGTACCCTCCTCCCCAGCCCTCCTCTCTTTGTCGTTGACAAGAGCTACAGATGCGAGACTCTGGTCCCGGTCAAGTTTTCATGTACAAAAGTGCAGATCAACCACGAGAGAAGTCGGGGAGGTTAGCGGAGAGAGGAAGCAGAGGGAGAGGAGCTGACTGGTGCTACAGAAATTCAGAGACGCCGAAAGTCCTCAAATCTATCCCAAGCAGGAGAGTGTAAAAATGAAGAAACTTCTTTATCAATGTTCGCAGACCGAGAAATCCCTTCAGCGATCTACTCTGCTTCACTTTGCACTGAAAGTTTCTCTATTGAGCCTGTTAGTTGTGCAATAGGCTGAAAGATGCCGAGAGAAGCGCAGGACAGTCAGTAAGGAGAACGAGAATCTCACAGCACGCATCAAACCTCTGTAGAGTTATTGGTCACGCTCCCCAGCAACTGCAACACACGATCTTCACATCTCGGCGACCGGTTGAAGGGAGCAAACTACCTCCATGACTGCGACGTGTCCTGCATTCTTAGCAAGCTGCAAGGGAGTACGGTCATCAATATCTCTCAGGTTGGTATCGGCGCCCGCGTCTGAAGACTGTCATGCCATCACTGAGGGTTTATGAGGGCTTACTGAGTAATACTCTTGCACACTCCAAATGCCTGTGGGTACGAAGTGAGAGTCGACCTGATCCGCTAGTCCCTCCATCACCCTTGATCAGCAGCATAGTGGAGAGGAGTTCTACCGTGCCTAGTCACCTGCGAGATGTTCCCTCCTCTCTCAATCAGCGCTGGGCACAACATCAGGTTGCAGCTTCAGAGGAGCAGCATTGTCAACTTTGAACGGTGTCTGTCTTGCCCATCAAGCTCGCCCAGTGCAATGCAGCATAAAGACCAAACTCATCTGCCTTGTTCACCTGGCACGTGGAAGGGTGGGATGTCAGCACAGCCCACAGACCGCCTCTCGAGTTCCACCTGTGCTCCCTGCTGTTCAATCAATTCAATCACTTCCCATGTTCGCCCACGGCATGCGCTCTCGCGCATTCTTGTCGAGGGGTCCATCATGGCAGCTGTTGGTACCACAGGAAACGGAGGATGATGCTTTGGGCCTGCGTCTTCCCGTCAGCGCTGATGCTGCTGCTCCTCACAAGCTACCCAAGTCCGAAGTTAAGTTCTCAGGATCCATGAAGTGCTTTGGGATGATAAGCTTCCACTTGGGGTTGCTTTCAGTGTACTCTGCTTCCTCGTCCTCTTCGTAGTACGTATCGATCTGGTCCCACTCGTGAGTTGTACCCTCCTCTCCAGCCATCCCATATCACCTCCGCCAGAGTCTGGTTGAGAGTGACAAGGTCCTCATCGATTTGCTTTTCCTGCATCGAGATGTACTTCCTATCCTGTACAGTTTCCTCCCACGCTTTCTTCATCAGCTGTTCTGACCCTCCCCGAAGAGACAGGCGGGTGGAAGGGACTGAGAACGTAGGAGGAAGTTGGGACGAAGACGAAGAGGAGGGCTGAGGGAGAGGGAAGACACGCTGAGGAGGGCAGGAGCCGGAGGGAGAGATCAGAGAAGAGAGGAGAGGGAGGAGGAGAAGAACTAGCTGTGCAGGCCTCATCAGCCGCGCGGTTTGCTGCATGCGCCCGGACATGGGCAGGGAGTGCTTCACGGGGATGCCAGGGGGTGGGGTACTCAAAATTTAAAAAGGAGGGGTAGTTTTGCGAACAATGCAGGAGGATGGGAGAGCAGGAGGGCGGGCCACAGGAGGAGGGGCATCGGGAGGAGGAGGAGGAGGAGGAGGAGGAGGAGGAGGAGGAGGAGGAGGAGGAGGAGGAGGAGGAGGAGGAGGAGGAGGAGCATCGGCAGCATCTGCACTTCATGTGCATTATGATAGTCCAGTCCATCTCGGCTCGAGGCAAGTGGCATGGCGAGAGAAACGAAACCTGGCCATGCATAGCACGGCGAGGAACTTGCACGAGGAGGCGGACTCAGACTTCTGGGATAAGTTGTGGCGTTGCGCAGGATATGCTCAGACACAAGACGGAGACTATGTGAGGATGAAAGCAGAAGAGATTGAGAGCGCGCGCCTGTCTATGCCCGAGCTCGAAGCTCTCGTGGAGGCTGAACTGGCAGATTACTTAGTAGAGGTAGAAGAGGACGACGAGGAGGCTCGCGCCAAGGAGAAGGACGAAGACTGGAGTAGGCTCATGGAGTACGCGAGAATCGGCGACTTACACAAGGCGATGGTGTGAATTTGACGTGGTGTGAACGTACAACTGACAAACCGTCTAGGACCTGATCCACGAGAAGTCGCGGCCTCAAGCTGCCGAGTCGTCAGAGGATCTCCGAAGATTCTTGACTTACAAAGATCGGTCAGGCCTCCTCCCTCGTTGTCGTTTTGCTTGCTTCTTCCCATTTGCTCCTAGCCCCATCCCTCCCTTGCTGGCAATCGCCTTAGCACCTCTCCTCTTTCTCATAGTTCTCACCGGAAGGTTTGGCTGGACTGCTCTACACTGGGCTACTGAGTGCGATCCAGCGGTGGAGGAGCCTGCGGTGGTTGACAGGAAGTATCAGATCCTGAAGCTAGTGAGGCCTCATCTCAAACGATGCCTGGGTTGAAGCATGCTTTCAGATCTTAGACTGCAACTCACATTTCAATCCTGCCATCAAGACACAGCGAGGCAACACTGCACTAGTGCACACGATCTGGAACGGGAACTTGAAGTCCTGTCAGGTGAAGAGAACTCTAGTATTGTTGCCAACCCTGACAATCCGTTGGAACCTTGCAGCTGATCTTGAAGAGGAAGGCATGCGATCCGAACATCAAGACTGAGTGACTAGTCCCAGTAGACTTTCTGGACTTGTTCACGTGTCCTGGTCAAACAGGTTCGGATGGAATGCGATGCACTGGGCGTGCAACGGCAAGCAGCTCAAGGACGGGAGATGGAGGCCGTTCGTGGAGATTGTGCAGCTGTAAGAAACCCCAGTCCCCCCCCCCCTCTCCTTGCAAGGTTCTCATGTGCCTGCAGACTTCTCAAGAAGCAGTTTGAGATGGACATCGACGCTGGCAGTCAGGCAGGGGACACTCCGCTCCACCTGGCGACCATGTAGGACGTGCAAGCCTTGCCGTGCATGGAGGCTGAGGTGGTTGGTTGGCAGGAGGGGGTATGCGTCAGTAGTTGACATCTTGATTCGAGCGAGAGCGAACATCAATGTACAGAACCTCAAGGGCATGACACCGCTCCACGTCGAGGATCTGATGCCTCCGCTTCTTCCTTGTTGATGGCTGGATCGCAGGTCGCTTCTATCCACCAGAACAGGGAGGTGGCGACTCTCCTGCTCTCCTACGGCGCAAAGAGAGACATCCTCGTGAGATCCCCCGTGTGCCTTCCCTGTCAGCTCCGTGACAGTGCGACTATGAAGGACGATGAGGGAAGAACAGCTGCCGACATCTACGTTCTCAGGTGATGCTGCCTTGTATGTTCGCAAGGCTCATCTCGTCATTGAAGGGTTGTCGACACTCTGCGAACGCTGAAGACTCCCGACCTCTACACCAAGGACTCCTTCGACAGGAAGGTGCTGGACAGGAGCCTGAGAGCGAAACACTGAATGTCTTGATCATCGTCCTCCCCAGGAACTCGAGGGGCGTCTGGCAAAGTGGCTGGAGGAGAAGGGCTTCCCGTCCTATCTCCTCTCAGCTACCGTGTCTCCAGAGAATGTCTCCTGACTCCATCCTCCTCCTTTTCTTCTGACTGTACGAGGATGAGCAGGTGCTGAGTATGCGGCCGAAGCTGGACCTCCTCACTAAGGTTCAGATCGTGCAGGGAGAATGAGGGGAGGAGCTGAAGGGTTGGGACAGGCTCCTCAAGGGCTGAGTGTGGAGGACGTGTCAGTGTTGAGGGGCCAGATGGATCTTCTCTTGCTATTGGTTTCTGGATTCCAAGACGGCGAATCCAGCGATGACGACAGTCTTTGAAGAGCGGGTATGTTTTTATAGCTGAATTCCTTGATATTGTAAATATTCACAACACAAGAAGACTTTATAGCGCACATGTCGTCACAGAGGGCTGACAAGATGGCTGGGCCGTTGGAAGTGAGTGTTGGACCATAGGAAGGGCGACGACTTTACGCCGTCCGGATTCTCTCCTCCGGCACTCCCTTTATCCTCGAATCGTTGTTCTCCTCGCTCCATCATCTTGGACCCTTCGCTTCTCTCCTCAACCATCCGCAGCTTGAACGTGGGATTGTCCAAAGGGAGGAAGGTCGAGTCAATGCAGCCCTCTGGGATCAGCCCTCTGGTTCTTACGGGACTTCCCCCTTCCCTCTCCACCAGCAGCCATCCAGCTGGAGCGTCTTTATCTCCCAGCACGGTGACCAGCTCTCCCTCCTCTACAGACAGCTCCTCCTCCAGGACCGCCACGTAGCCAACTAAAATTCTCTTCCGCGTTGCTTTCGGGAGGGCCTCTTCTCCCCTTGGCACCACGAGGACGACCCACCCCTCCGGCACTCGCTGCACTACATCCCCGTCGAAGTGCAACGTCACAAGACCGTCTCTCCCTCCTCCCTCCACCACCTGCGCTCTCTCCGTCTTGCTGCTCCTCTTTCCCTTCACCCGGCAGTGTGCTCTGACCACATCACCTACCCCCAGCACCGCACGAGCTGGGGGCTCGTTCTTGGCATCTGCCCGCAGCCACGAGGTCGAGCTCCTCGCCCAGGAGTGAATGGCACTGCAGGAAAAATCCCTCGCCCCCCACCCTCCTCCTTGCTCCTCTTGCATCCTGAGATGTGGGATGGACTGAGCGGCATGTCCAGCACCAGCCTTGGTTGTAGGAGCAGGCATCACTTGAACAAGTTGCTTCATCCTCGCTCTCGTTGGCTCGTCGAACATAATGGTCATCTTCGCCCTCTCCACTGCCTTCATTGAGAGGTCACGGAATCTCCGGTAGTGCTTTCTTCTCTCCACGAGCTTCTGCCATGCTGCTTTACAAAATCGCAAGAACCTGTCGTTGGACTCCTCGAACTTCGCTTGCATCTCCTTTCTCGTTGTCTCTATCAGCCTCTGGATTTGCTGTTCAAAATCCCTAATCACAGCTTCCTCACGCACAAAGGACACTTTGGACAACTGCAACTTTGCTGGAAGCCTCGACAGGTTCGACTGACCTCCGACTGTCTTTGCAAGGAGCTGCACTGACGCTCGACTCTCCGGGAGTTCTGGAACAGTCTGCACCTTGACTGTCGGCGGTGTCGCCACCGACCCTGAAGTCAATTCAGAGAGTTTCTGTTGCGCCAGTGAAGATTCAGCATTCCTTTGCTCCTCCTTCAATCGAGATTCGAGGTTCAGCCTTGCGGACTTCTTCTTGAGGTCCCATAGCCTCAACCTGTCTTCCACCGCAAGCCGCTTCTTCTTCAGCCGCGCTTGCTCTAGCTGGCTCAACTCTGAGCTCTGATGTGTTCCGAGGTTCAGATGCGCATCTCGCATCTTCACTTTTCTCTCCAAGTTGAAATCTTCCCGCAGCCTGATCGCCTTTTCGGCGTCCATATACTTGAGACTGAACATGAGCAACACGTCCTTGTTGAAGCCACAATCCAGCATGTTCTCCCTGTACATGAATTCGTAGTGGCGAAAGATATCCCGGGACAGCAATCGAGATTCCACCTTGTGGTCTTGCCTTAAGCGTTCATCTTCTATTCGTTCTTCTTGATCAAGTTGTGACAGCATGTGCTTGAAATCCCTCTCTTCCTCTCTCTCCATTCTCCTCTCCAGCTCCTGCAACAAGTACTTCTTCTTCTTTATGAAGAGACTCTTCTGACTCTGCTGCTTGTGCTCTCGAAAGCTATCTTCTATATCTGTCAAGGGACTTGATTCATGAAGTCCCGCAGCCCAGAATTTAGCTCTTCTCCTTCTTCCCAAGCGCATCACTGTGCTTGCTTTTTCTCTCATGAACGCTCTCTTGATGGTCTCAATTTCTTGAAGAGCACTCCTCCTGATCTGCTGGAGTGATGCATTCAACGCCTGCTGCAGGCCTCGTAGATTCTTGTCTTGTGTGTTATGAAAGTTTTCTTTGTTGAAGCTAGGCCAGACGATTGAATCCTTCAACCGCTTCCCTCGCTCCTGCTCCTCTTTCTTCTCGTCATATTTATATCTATGTTCTTCTCGTTCATCCTGCTCCTGCTCCTGCTCCTGCTCCTGCTCCTGCTCCTGCTCCTGCTCCTGCTCCTGCTCCTGCTCCTGCTCCTGCTCCTGCTCCTGCTGCTGCTTCTGCTCCTCAGCCTCCTTGCTCTTGATCATGGTGATCAGAGTGATGAACAAAAATCCCTTGGGTTCAACGGACTAGGACAGCTTCGGGAAGTTCGGGCACCGGATCCGACTCGTTCACCGGCCGGGCCGGCAGGGCCGCTGAGTGATCACCGTACGGTACCGGCGTACGGTAGTGGCGCGGCGGGCCCGTGGCACGATCCGATCTCGCGTCTTCAAGGTGTCGGAGGCCGACTCGTATCACAAACTTTTACTCAAAGTACAAACAAACATTACAGCTTCCTCTGTGACTTGGGACTCTTTACTCAAAGTTAAGTTAAAAATCAGTACGAGGACAATCAGGAGAGAAGTTAAGTTAAAATTTCCTGAACCCTGTTGGAATAATACTACTAGGTTTTTTACTCGATGCTGGAATTTCATGAGGGTGATGAAACGGTATGTGAGGGTGATGATGAGGGGTATGAGGACGATGATGCTTGTGATGGAGGGCGATGAGATTGTAAATTCCAACGCAATCATTGGGGTAGGTACAGACTTCACGAAAGGTGGAAAATACGTTTGTAGTATGGTATATAGATATGACCAAAATCGTATGCTGCTAGGCCTATCTGATATCGAAGATTCAAAAAAGTTGGAATCAAGTATTACTTATTCATTATTAACAGTACAACTACCTCTCCGCCTCAGGATACATCTCTAATCATCCTGGCTATTTCCGCTAAACTCTTCGGTACAAAGTTGGGGCCGCAACAATGGATCGGGGGCCTGCGCAATCATTGTGCTTATTTGCTGAGGGATGCAAGGTACTTCCTGAGCACCTTGGAGTGTGTCCTCTAGAAGAGTGTAGTCAGTGTAAACGTGCTTTCCATGCAATCTGTGTGGGTAGCACGGAGGACTTTGAGCAGACAGGAAGGTGTGGACAATCGCAGTGTTCCATCATCACCAATGCTGCGCGCAGTGCCGCTGCCGCTATGGCAAGCCAGGAAGTCCGAGTTGCAGTCCCGGCAATCGCAGTCTCGGTAGCCAGTGACTCGTCTCCCGGACTGTCTCAGCGGTCAGCACTGTCACAGCCGCGGCGTCGGCGTCCCACGCTAGAAATGCTGCAACTGCCGATCTCAGAAATAGAACAATTACGTCGAGACACTGAAGACATTTTGAACAATAATCTGGCTGACAGTATACGTACAATGTATCGTCAGCACATGACTAGGTTTCTTGAATGGTTATTTGCAAACCAGCGAACATATGGTCTGATTACCCCAGCCTTTCTGCAAGACTTGGAGGCGGCAGAGGGCCGAAAAACACCCAATGGCTTACCGACAGCCCATTACTTAGAACATATTCTGTCCCAGAAGGATATTATTCCCATCGACTTCGTAAGATTCAAAGCAGAGCATTTCATGCACTGGATCTCATTTCTGTTGAGAGAAAAACCAGATCTTGCCTTCTCGACATGTAGTTCGTACCGATCATCGTTAATGTACATCGTGCATCTTTACGATGTACCTGTTAAGCTCTTGAGAATAACGGTTTGCACGTCGGAGACTTAGGTGAATAGGGCTCATTACACCGTAGTCATTCACAACTTGATTTGATGCTCCATACAGGCACACATAGTATCAGAAAAGGATCAGCGACATATACTTCGTCAGGAACTACCAGCGGACCAAGCATAAGTGCGATTTCTCTGCGAGCTGGTTGGAAAATGGGTACGATACATGACACGTATCTCAGATACGAGGCCGCTGGAGACCAGCAAGTAAGTTGAAAATACTGCGGCCAATATTTGACTTCAATTGAACCCCCACTAGGTAGGAAGAACATGTTGTGGGTTACCCACAGACAAACCTGAATTCGCGGCTCTACCGCCTATGTTCTGGTGTGAGACCAGTGAAACACGGCGAGAGATTAATGAGATCATGGACCAATTATATCCATGCATTCAGGGAAATGCACGGCTTAGGAGGCTTGTTGAACAATCTCTGGCGTCTGTCATCTACCACGAAAAATTTCTTCGTGATACAATGCCCATGAACCATCCTCTGTTTCAAACGGAATTGTTTATTCACGAGGGATTCATAGATACGTTGAAGAAATTCGTTACAACTGAGGCGCACGGAAGAGTTGCGACGGGGATAACATCGCATACATGCCTGTTGAAAGAAATGGGAGAAATCAAAAGCGAAGTGGGAGAAATCAAAGGCGAAATGGCTGAAATGAAAGGCATGATTCGGAAACAGGAAGAACAGTCAAGAATGCCATGCCAGCGTTGTCACGACGTCGGGGGTGACGGCGATGGCACCGTCACATCAGTGACCGGCGGTTCTACCACTAGCGTTCAGCAAGGAGAGAGGGTGCCGGGCCGAAGTGTCTATGACATGTTTGTGAGTGTAAGTGACAAACTGGATACCATCATTACCAGAACCGAGGACAGTGGGGTGCGCAGGCTGGTAAATCGTGATGAGGAGAACGATGGATTGGGTTCATTACAGGGACAGGATGTAAGTAATGCACGTCGTTCACGGAATGCGACCAGGAAGCCGCAGAAAGGTACATTCCCTTGGGCAAAGATGACCACGAGATGCGCCTACATGTTGTATCACTTCGGACATGCGGAAACTCGAAAAGGTCCTTTCAAGCGCCTTAGAGGGATTGACTTTCCCACCAAATATGACGGAAAGAGGCATTCTGATATGAAATATCTGTCGAAACGCATCAAGGAAGAGGCTGAAGCTCTTGACATCTACAAGGCTGATCCCAATCGCATTGAGGCAGGTTTCATGTTTGATCAATGCGAAAATTATCTTTTCGAGGAATATGAGAAGGTGACTAAGACAGAGACGAATGGTGACATGTCAAGATTTTCGCAGCTGTGTTGGATGACAGTAGTACGTGTGCTGAGAGGCAACAAGAAACGCCGGAAGGCTGTGAGATCCGAGACCTAAGTTAATGAATGTGATAAGAGTGAATCACATTGTCACGTGTTTGAACTTTGGAAACAAGTTCGATGGCCATCAGCCTGAAACGCAGGAAGGCTGTGAGATCCGAGACCTAAGTTAACTGATGAATGTAATAAGAGTGAATCACATTGTCACGTGTTTGAAACAAGTTCGAGGGCCACAGGAAGGCTGATCCCAATCTACAAGGCTGATCCCAATCGCATTGAGGCAGGCACCGTCGGCCACTCCCTGCAAGTACATTCAGTTTGATATAACCAAGTTGCAATATGCTTGATTTCATGACCTCCGTTCCAGCCACCCACTCTCTATCTCTCCCTGCCATCTCGCTTTCCCAGTCCCTTCATCCGTCCCTTCTTCCCTCACTCACTTGCGCACTCTATCCATGCATTTGTCTCTCTACGACTTCCCTTCATCACTTATGATACATGCCTTCTCAGGAAGAATGCTGTACATTTCGATCTTAAGCAATGTCTAATAAGGTGCCAAATGATTAACATACTCATAATTATCAAATATGCAAGCATATTTCTTGACTGTTTAGTCCATATACTTGAGAAAGCGAGCATCAACCTGTCACATCCCGCCATCGCGCTACACTTAGAAAAATTCTCAAATAGGAAACTTGAGTAAAACTTTACTCAAAAAAGGGTATACATAAATTCCACCAGGGTGCGCCTATAGATAAGAGGGTCAAGCCTCCTCGACTGCTTTTTAACTTAACTTTGAGTAAATTTTTAAACTGAGAGAACCCTCCATTGCCCACGTGCTATTTTGGGCAATACCCCTTGACCTTTTTTTCGATACCCTGTACCCCCCAGATGGGGTAACTTTCAATACTTCATTGTATCGCCTTGGGAGTACAAGTTGGTGTATGATATTTTTATTTGAAGACCCCGAAAGTATTTCTCTCATATTTCAAGCTTACATATGACAGTCTCAAAAAAAGAAATATACCCCCCAAAAAGCATTTGTCCCCTCACTCCACCCGGCGCCATGGCAGAGCAGCAGCAAGCGCTTCCCTCCTTCTTCTGCCCCATCAGCATGGAGTTGATGTCCGACCCTGTCAACACCTGCGACGGCCACACGTACGAGAGATCCTTCATCGAGACCTGGCTCCAGCAGCATCGCACAAGCCCCCTCACCGGCTCCCGCCTCCCCCGCAGGGACCTCGTTCCCAACCTCGCTCTTCGCAACGCCATCCAAG